ATTCTCTCCGAGATAATTTGCATGATCGCTATTATTGGGACGAATCCACTGATCGCTTGTACCTCAAGGCATCCCCCAATAACCGGTTGTGCATACCACAGTGCGGTGTCCGGTTAAAGCTCATTCAAGAACACCATGAGTGTGCAACGGCTGGCCACCCGGGTCGTGATCGAACGTACTTCCGCCTAGCACGTTTTTTCTACTGGCCCCGAATGGGTCTCGATATCAAGAGATTTGTCAAAACCTGTGATCTCTGCCAGCGAACGAAGGGAGGTCAGCCACGAACAGGGCTTCTCCAGTCACTTCCAATACCTAATAGTCCTTGGCAGGATATCTCAATGGATTTTATTGTTGGATTGCCCCTTACTTCTCGTGGCTTCGACGCAATTTACACCTTTGTGGACCGACTTACGAAACGCGTACATCTTGTTCCAACAAACTCGAAGATTGATGCTAAGGGCAGCGCTCAACTGTACATTCAAAACGTGTTTCGTCTGCACGGGCTGAGCTCGACCATTGTTTCCGATCGCGATCCACGATTCACTGCAGCTTTTTTCAAAGAAGTATTCTCTCAGCTAGGAACTAAATTGGCATTCAGCACTGCTAACCACCCTCAAACGGATGGTTTGACAGAGAGAGTTAACCGGCAAGTGGGAGATGTTCTAAGAGCATTTGTGAACTTGAGACAGGACAATTGGGATTCGCTTCTACCACTCTGCGAGTTTGCAATAAATAGTTCACAACAGTCATCTGTAGCTAATACACCGTTCTATCTGAACTATGGGTTTGACCCTAAGTCCCCGCCCGAATTCATTCTTACGGGAGGGGAAAGGAGTGATTCGGTCGATTGCCTTCATGAGCAGGAAGCCGCACTAAGGATAGCTCGAGATGCAATGCTCGACGCCCAGGCAAGGCAAGCTCTATACGCAGACCAGACGAGAACGCCCAGTGATTTGAAGGTTGGTGATAGCGTTCTTGTCTACAGAGACTTTCTACTGACCCCGGAAGCTCGTGGCCAGCCCTCTCGGAAATTGCAACCCAAGTGGTTTGGTCCGTATCGTATCCAGGCTAAGATTGGAGCGAATGCTTTTCGCTTGGAACTACCCCGTGAACTTCGCTGCCATCCCGTGTTTAATGTCACTGCTCTTAAACGCTACGAAGAGAACACGATTCCTGGAAGACACCAACCCCCGCCTCCGCCCTTCACAGATCTAGATGGACACACACGCTATGTTGTCGAAGCCGTTTTGAATCACCGACACCGCAGTGGTGAGCAACACTTCCTGGTGCATTGGAAGGGTTACCCCAGCAGCGAAGCTACGTGGGAGCCCGCTGGCAACCTGTGTGATGAGTCTGGTCGGAATATTAAACCGCTGCAGAACTATCTAGCCTCACAACGACAGCAGCCTTGATCTAACTGGGCTGAGCCATATGCATCTCTTACTGAGATAGTTAATAATATGTTATAGACTGATATAGTTTTGCGTCATCTCCTTGTGAGAGTGATGTAGTTGAGTTGGATTACACTTCAATGTGATTATGCATGTGCATGAGTGATTATTTAATATTCCCCTTTCCACAATTGCATCTCCTAACTGGATTGTGTTATCTAATAGAACCTTGGGCTTCCTATGGGGCCGGGAGAGTGTAATAGTTTTACCTTGACACTTCTTGCGTGTCTTATGGTAACACCTTGTGTTCCTACTATTCTCACTCCTGCGGTTCTCGCCTTTCTTTTGCTTTATAACCTCTGGTTTGAACATCATTCGGGGAATTCTCCAATCAATCAAGTCTATACTGTTACAGGCTGGGCAAGTGGTCGTCTTTCGTCGACGTGCTGTTGGCTGGGGAGTCCTTGCTTGACTCTTCTTTATTGCTGCCAGTTGATTTTTCATGTTCAAAACTGTCGTTCAGTTGAACGGCCAGGCTCGAAGCTGAGTCCATACGCGGCAGGTTCGTACTGCATGTACCTGCGGACTCTTCGTTTTTACTACCAGTTGGTGATTTATTTATTTATTTATTTATTTTTTTACTTGAAACCACGCACCCAATTCGTAAAAGAAGAAAGAAGCAGGAAATGACAAAACAACAGACTAACAAGACATTGACTGAATGGGGCTGCAAATGCAACGCAGCGGTGGTGATGGGGTGCTGCAGGCTCCGCCGACCAATGGTCTCGGCATCCGCGCCTACTTCACGCATCAGAAAATCGGGAGAAGAAGAGAAACAAAAAAAGATTGAAAAGTATATAGCGAAAAGTATAGTGTGGAGAGAGAGAGAGAGAGAGAGAGAGAGAGAGAGAGAGAGATGTTTTAGGTTCAAAACTGTGTGCGGGTTGAGCCGCCAGGCTCGCAGCTGAGTCCATACACGGCAGGTCTGTGCTACATGTAGCTGCAGTACTACCGGTAGTAGATCTACTGGCACGGTCTGCGTACGTTCCACTGCGACCCTCCGCTACAGTGCAGTTGTTGGCTGTGTGGCCTGGCTGTGAGCATTTTCGGCAGGTCTGTGGCTGGTCCTCGTACCGTACTCGAAAAATGTTCTTGGCATCAGCTCGGACAAAGGAGGGAATATTTGTTGCTGGCGTTTTGAAGCGGAATGAGGCGAAACGGACCCCGGTCCCTACGACACGGCCAGCACTGGTTTTGACCTGGCCATGTCGAATTTCGCCCACTACATGGCCAAACTCGTTCAGGGCATTGTCGATCACCAAATTGTCAACCCATATTGGTACATCAAGGATTTGAATTTCCGCTGTATTGGAGAAAAGCGGACTAACGGGGAGGGTTTCACCATTGAGAGTAATGCCCTCAGCGCAAACATGTTTCACAGAATCCTGAGTTTCAAATGTTACCTTGCATTGTTGTTTGGCGGCCATCTGGACGGAGACCAAGTCTTCAGTGCCGCAGTTGGCGAGGGCCTCCGCAACAGCCAGGTTCTTGGTGCCGCGTGGTGCAGTGAAGACGCAGGTGTTTCGTTTGAGATTGTCCGGCAGGATGACTAACCAGGATGGCAGCGCGGTTGAGCTGCTTGTAGCAGAGCGTGATGAGTGGGCCATACTGGCTAAAAAAACTTCAGAAGGCTCTCGCCAGTTCAAGGACTGCACTGGGTGTCTTCCGTGAGTAGACAGTATCGTTTAAAGACTAACAAAAGCTTGCATACGCAGAGCTCCAAAATCTGCATCCACCTCCTAGTTGCACAAGTTGATTCGAGTTGTTGATACGATTGCTGCATATGGAGATGTGGGTCGTGTGCAGGCTGCCTCAGCATTTTCCACTCGACCCGTGGTGAGAATGGATGATCATATTTCTAGTGGCTCTCCACCTGAAGAATGTACCTCTGATTCGCCTGCCGGCTCGTTTGCCAGTGATCTCTCGCAGATGCTGACCAGGGTCATGTCCCTGAAGGAATCAGGGCGTCCTGGCTTTAACTCATTGCTGCGGCAGAGGAATGAGGAGCTAAAGGAACTCCTCAGCTCATCCCAGCAACTGTCAGTCGACATAGCTAGTGAGGCGGGCGTATCCAGCTGGATGACGGCTGACCCCTCCACAGGTGATTTTGTGTTAAACAAGTCGTATTTTGCTGATGCGTTGACGATCTGGTATGCCTGGCCCCTCTGCGACTTGCCGAGCACATGTGTACGCCGAACAGTACGGTCTTTGGACGGGTTATCCCACGCAGAGGCACAACGCCCTGCGTGATCTTCTGGCTGATGCCATGGGCACTGCTCTACCGGATGTCCGGATTGAGCCTCCCCTTCTGCCACTGGAGGTAGGGATCTCAGTGCGTGTGCAATGCGCAGGGTGTTTGCGCACACATTGCGTCATCGAGTTTTGAGTGCAGCTCGCGGACACAGCTGCAAAATGGCAACATTAGCATTTTCGACACTAGCAGAATAGGCATCTTCATCTTCGTTCGAACACATAATTATGATTCCCGCCAAAGGACACGGTGGCCAAGGCGATATCGATAGATTTTTCTATAATTTGCCATGCGGCAAGAACCAACTTCAGAGAAGATTTAGTGAAATATTCAGACGGTTTCTCCGGTTAGATTGTCCTTACTTCGATTTTCAGTGCATCAGCCATCATGAACATCGCCGCCATTAACATGCAGTGAGAAGACATCGCTCTCAGTGGAAGAGGTGTTCACGCTGCGTCCAATAGTGAACTATTGCGCTCTTTGATCCTCCATAGTTCCTCTGAGAGAGTGTCCAGGAGATAGGTAGCTTAGAGATGGCCGTAGAACGTGCTTTCCTGGACGCAACATGCAACCATTTCTTCTTAAACTTGATTTATTCCCGTAGCTATGCAAATGATGTTACATCAGTAACGTCTGGCGCTAGCCAGGGTCCACACAGCTATAATTCCGTGTTTGTTTGTTTGTTTGTGCCGTTGGCATGCCTGGCGCTTTCCCGTACCTGTCCCGTACTGTACCATTAAAGACAGCTGGCCACAGTATTCAAATACTAGTAGCAAGAGTACCTAACCACATAACCCCCAGAGTTATGTACTCTTGCTAGTACTAGTATGGCTTTCAAATGCAAGATCATAACGTGAAGCAACTTGGAAAAATGAGTGTGTATGCGAAGTGTATCGGGAAATGAATGCAGGGCGAATTTTTCTTATCATCTCTCCGATGCCCCGATCATGCTACCATTGATTTTCAATAAAGTTCTTTGGCAATATTCACAGTAAGTAGCCAATTTCTTTTGCTATTTCATCAAAACGCACCCTACAGAAGACACTGACGTCTTGATGATATGGCTGCAAGGGAGTCTTGAGGAAGCATGCAAACAATCAAAAATATCATTTCACATGCAGGGACACAACATTGAATGTAGAGAGCGGCATGATTGGAAAACCACCTACGTCTAAATATGCAGCTGATGAATTGTAGAATTTTTCCAGGGGCTAGGTAATGTTCCTGCCGATGTGTGTTTGGGGGGGGGGGTAATGTTCCTACCGGTGTGGGATTAAACACGTCAACAGAATACTTACCGATGCAGGTAAAATTACCAGGATGATTACGCACGAGACCGGTGCACTTATAACCAGGAGCGCAACGTGTCTGGGGTAATATATCGCAACTACTGTTGCAAATGCCTACGGTTAGGTCTAAGAAAGTCATGTGCGGACAAACAACAGAGAACCAGTCAATAGTTTAAAGTGAAATCAGAATTGGTGAAAAAGGCACTTGAAGCAGCAAGTAGCAAGTAATTCTGCATGCACTAGATATAAAAGAAATTATTCCTGTGGGGTGATGCTATGCTTATGTGCTACCCACACCACCACCACCACGTCCACCAATGAGCATATCCCTCCGCAAAATCGAGGAGACACAACACCACCGACTCCTCGATCTCATCTGGCGCGGCCTGAACGGCCAATGTAGTACAGCGCTTTCAAAGCAGCTGACGCCCGCAACCACGGTCCCAACTCGACATCAAGCCAACGCCGGGCTCATTCTCCCGCTGGCCAGGACAAAAACAGGCACTTGCCGACCGTTCTTCCGTGGACCTGCGCTGTGGAACACTCTGCCAGCCAGTGTACATTCCTGCAAAGCCCGGGCCGATTTCGAAGCAGCCGTGTACCCGTACACTCTTAGGCCATAAACGTTTTTAAAGAAGAGAAACAGTGACATGCAACCCCCCCCCCCCCACACACACACACACGGACAGTATGTATAGGCATATAACGAACGGTCTTTTCCTGTCAGCTCTGTTTGTCCAATACATGAGATAAAACGTCTTTCTTGTTGTTTTTCCTTCTCCATGTAGCTGCTTCCAGCATGGTAAACGACAGTACCATGGCCTTTTCAGATTTTCATTATACCTATTTGTAGTACCTCCCGGGATCAGTATTTCCACTTGAAATAATAACCACTCCAATGCCTCATTCTTAACATTCATTTATTCGCTTCCATGTAATTGGGCTTATTGCCCGTTTGGTATTGCGAATTCAAATAAAAAACAACAACAAGACTCCCTCTGTTGCAGGCCTGATTGTTGCCGATTTCAGCCAGCGAAAACTCAGGCCCAGGTGCAAACCAGCGTCAGTAGCTCATTTCCAAAACTGGCCATGGAGAGGCTTACCCTGGATAACTGCCAGGCACTGGAGAGCAATGGCTTTCTTGACAATGACTTTTGTGGCAGTCTCCAAGTCGGGTAGGTCAAGTTCACCCAGAAGTCTGGAGGCTTGATGTGTTACTGATTTTGATGGTGCCACATCATGGTCGTGAAGACGCTTTTAAAACACTAGAACTACCAAAATTTCAACTACCCTAGAATTACCGGAGGCATCATTATGACTCCACCGGACTTAAATGTACCTGTTTAGTATTCGCTTTGGGAATATGTGTAGAAACGGAAGTCCTTGGGTTAAAAGGGTACATTTTAAAAGGAAGAACCAATTACAGGTGCACTATCTCGGAGACCAGCAGCTAGCATTGCGCGGAGCGAAAGAGCGACCTCTTGTCGGTTTACGGAAGGATAAAGGAGCATTTGCTTGCCATGCTCATCCTGCAAACTCTACATTTCAGTCTATTATCCCGGCAATGGCTTCGCCAACTTGCTGGATTTTTCTCACCAAAGTTAGTCATTATTTGATGCTGTGATAAATACATCTACAAGCGAAAGGAGAAAGTGGTGTCACGACTCATAGGAAACAATTAATTTCCGTTCGCCGTCGTGTCCGGAGACCATTTTTGTGATCAAACCTCAAGTAGCAGAGTAGTTCCTAGAGACTATTTATAGGGATTTTACTGAAGTATGTTACGTTCATTCCTATCCAGCCAAAGGGCCGTCGGCAGATTATTGCGGGTACAGAGGACGCCTGTTGCGAAAAGATGCAAAACAAATCCCATGAAATTGCCTTCACTCAAAGCAGAGTCCTCTCCAAGTTTCTGTTTCCCCTCCTACATTGTGCAGGTGTTCATGATATGGATCAAAATTCTGGTCATAAATGCGAATAATGCATTTTTTGAAACTCGGATGTTGAGCCATAAATAAATGAAGAAAGGAAAAGGACATATGGATACGAGTTTAGAGTAACTCTCCATCACCGTAACTGGATACTATACAGTCAGAAAGTGCAATAACTAGGCACAAAACTGACAGAGTACGGAGACATTCGACGTCCTGAGACCTAGCTTCAACACATCTCCGTAGCGCTAACCAACAGCCTTCCAACTTCGAAGGTTCAAGGTTATGGAAAGACCAAAGAGGGGAAGGCAAGCGCAACGAAAACGAGCAAAAGCTACAGTCCCAACGGAACAAAGAATGTCGATTGTTACTGGACGATGACGAGACCAGTACGATATTTGACAAAGCGGTCTAACTACAATTCGAAGCAGCAAAGCAGCACACCACCCAACTTGGGTGGTCCTCTGTACCCGCAATAATCTGCCGACGGCCCTTTGGCTGGATAGGAATGAACGCGATATCGTACTGGTCTCGTCATCGTCCAGTAACAATCGACATTCTTTGTTCCGTTGGGACTGTAGCTTTTGCTCGTTTTCGTTGCGCTTGCCTTCCCCTCTTTGGTCTTTCCATAACCGTGAACCTTCCAAGTTGGAAGGCTGTTGGTTAGCGCTACGGAGATGTGTTGAAGCTAGGTGTCAGGACGTCGAATGTCTCCGTACTCTGTCAGTTTTGTGCCCAGTTATTGCACTTTCTGACTGTATATAGTATCCAGTTACAGTGATGGAGAGTTACTCTAAACTCGTATCCATATGTCCTTTTCCTTTCTTCATTAATGCATTTTTTATTAATTTTTTATTATTAATCACAAACCCAACTCGTAAAATAAATAATTATGTGGACAAAAACAAACCGCTACTGAGTAGGGGCTGCACTGGGCAGCAGTGATGGTGAGGTACCAGGGGTTCCACCGACCAAAGGTCTCGGCTTCAATGCCACAAGCACGCACTGTCGGAGTCGTGGTGACGCCTGGTACCGTTCAGGTTTCAACAGGTCACATTACAGGACTGCACTTTGCGTGCATTCATCGAGCACTACACCTGTAGCCATGCATGACTGTATGATTTATGTGTCTGTTTTCACTACAATCATTCTCTAGTTCTGTAGGTCATGTATGGTATCACTCATGCGTGAAATCATGTGATCATCAACCCTGTTTTTCCCGGGCTTGTGCTCCTGTGCACGAGACGTATGCTTCAGATGTATGGCTTTTTTCCCGCTGCACGGCATCTCACGTGCAGAGTTTTTCCGCGTGCAGTGCTCTAGCAGCTTTGGTTTTGTTGTTGTTTTTTATTCTCCTTGTGTTGGAAAGAGTTCATGGTGAACAGTGGTTGAATCCAATTCTAAGTTACTTCTCAGTTCTAGCTAGGGTCTTGATAGGTTTTTGCTAGGGCATTGTTAGAGTGCATCCAAGATAATCCAAGATGGAGTTGGGTTTTTGAGAGTGAGAACTCGAACCAGTAAAGTTTGTCTCCATTGTTGAACGTGGGTTCGGAAAGTATCCGCAGTCGGTATTACAGTCACGGTACTGATGCAACCTGGTTCCGGGGAATACGGAACATAGTGGTCCTTCGAGCCGGATCACGTCCACGATGGAGAAGCTCAGGCGGAGTCAGCGCACGACGAAAGGCGTCGCAGCGCCAAAACTCGGGTACACAGACACCCAGTCCTACGCTGGTGCTAGTGGTGGAGATGACAGGATGACCGAAAGTAGGAGCCAAGCCGTCACCGCGAATTCAGCTGACAGGCTCAGCGCCAGGATAGCCGTGTTACAAGCGGAACAGGCTGTGGCGGAAAAGCGGCTGGAAATCGCCCGGTTGACGGAGCAGGCGATGTCGGAAGCCGAAGGGACGTTGAGGGAAAGGTCCGTTGAGACCTCCAGCTCTCCTGCGATGCGAGAAGAAGTCTTCCAGGAAGCGGGTGAGTTGCATGAGGCGGTTGCAGCCCAAGATACGTCGCTTATCGACTTTGACGATGATGTAGTTGCACCTAGTTCAGTTGCTGTTCCAACACCAACAGAGTCACACACGGTAGTCGGTGTAGAATCTCAGCCATCAGAAGGAGAGGCTTCCCATAGATCTACGCACGTAACGTCAGAATCAGCAGTAGGTCTACACCATGCAGAGGCCTGTCAGGCTAGCACACCACCACCGGTAGACGTAGTGATAGACGCACATGTAGAGAGGGACTCAGATGTCCAGCATGTCCGTGCATTCACTCCGGCACACAGCTACCACTACCAGGCACCGCCATGCGTAGTCCAAGATCCGATTCATGAACACCTGAATGAACCTCCGTTTCATCAACCAGAACCGCAGGCACAGGCACAGACACAGGTACTTCAAAGAACGATTGAACACACCACTGCTGTTGTAGCCGATGCCACTTACGCTGACTATCTAAGCGAGTCCATTCAGCGGGGAATAGGGCCCGAGCCCTGGGATAGGACATTCGTAGAGCGTCAGCAACTGCCGAGATCCAGTACTGGCAGTAGTCTACGCAGTGTAGAACGTGAGTTCCGGGCCAAGGAAGTTGCGTATCAGCAGCAACTACTACAGCTTCAGACGATGATCGATGAATCCGCGATCGTCGAGAAGCGGCGCCAGCGAGACGCTTACGCACTGCAGACGAACCTAGAGGAAGCTGAGGCGAGTAGGGCAATGGTCGAGCTAGCGTGCGACAAGCAAGCCAGGGATCTTGCGGCAGAACGAGAACGCAACGATGAGCTGGCCCGATCGATGACAGAGCTGAGGCAGCGGCTATTCGCAGCGGAGTATGCCCTACGCGAAAGCCGTGCCAGACAACGACGAGCGCCGAAGTCTGGTAGTGTCACTGAGCCTGTTAGAGAAGTACAAGGCTTACCGGTAGTGCAACCACAGCCTGCACAGGTCCACGAGGAGAGACGTGAGCGCTGCGAGTCGACCGCAAGCACAAGGCATAGCGGTATCCCGAGCACTACGTCACCCAGTCACCCACACGCATCCATGCCAGTACCCGCACCACGAAAGCACCGTCGCGACACAAGTGCACGTGCACGCGGCTACATGACAGTCTCAGACTCCGACTCAGAGTCAGGGCCACGTGGATACTCTAGTGCCAGAGCTACGGAGACGTGTACCGGTGGTAAGGGCGCAGCAA